AGGCTCTGCTGACGACTTACCTACGATGAGAGACCTCCCCCAGCTCTGTCCCTAGCATCACAACTAGCTTCATCCTTCTTTTATTCTGTGGGGAAAGGCAAGGAAGAGCGAGAAATGAACTCAAGCACTTCACAGAGTAGCGTTTTACTCCTGTTCTTCCCCCAGAGGTCTTCTCCACTCTCCCACAGGAGGTGGACACTACAGTAACAGCAGCGACCAAATCCCACCGAAGGTGTTTAGCTTTTCTTGCTGCTGGTGCCATACTTCCATGATCCTAATTAATCTCTCAGAGAAAAGCTAGCAGCGCTCACAAAATCTGCCAAACAATAAAGATCAAAGTCAGTAAAGCCCGTAGCTTGTGATGAGTGCCAACGCACCTAAGAGAAAACACCACAGGATAACAATAGCAATAAGCAAAGGATACGAGATTTATTGATCAAATCAGATATTGCGTGTCTTTCATTACTACAGCATCCTCAGAATCTCATCTCCAAAACCTCTAGGGTAGGAACTGTTATCTCTATTCTGCAGATAGGGAACTGGGACAAAGAAAAACCATCCCAGACACTTTCCTTAGGACAGGCTCTGCTGCTTTCTGAGGATGTTTCGCTCTCCATAGCCACTCAGGGAGCACAGGTACCTAACATTCAGATGGTTGAAATTTTCGGTTTAATTCCTTTCTAAAGTCTACTCAATTACACCTGAAAACAAGTCTCTACTTTGCTGTATTTTACTGTTGAGCAATCACTTCAGGACATGACAAGGATCGCATGACGCAAAGTGCACCGAAAAGCACACCGACCACGTCTTGTCCAGCAGACCTGGGCTAGGAGGGGTGAGTCTTCCTTTACTTTTGGTTTCCCATCCGTCATGCATTTTCATCTTCCTATTAGAATTTTCAGAATTTGATGGTAAGCGTGAAAAATCAAAAAATCTTAAACCACAACTTGAGGCCAAACTGTGACAAAGCACAGAAACCAGCCATTTTCCCAGAGAACTCACAGTCCGGGATCCTGGCATTACTGAGCATGGGGTTAAGGGGATGGCAGAGGAAAAGAGGCACGAGGAAAAGAAAAACTCTGTTAAAACTGGTCAGGTGAACTGAGAATAGGTCAGATTAAAAAAATGCCTTTATCGTTGAATTTATCTTTAATTTTTCTTTAGTTTGAACCAACAGATGTGACCTAGAGCAGTAGTTCCACTGAAAGATTTGCCCTGTGGAACAAAATAGACCAATATGCCACTTTGGTGAGACAGAAAGTCCTACTCTCACGAGTAGAAACTCTTCTGACACCCCAGAGAATGTAAATGTACCCAGCTACCAACATCCACAAACATATCTGCTTACACACCCATGTACCATATACAAAGTCAAATCAATGAGTTATTATATAAAAGTGTTTCATTAAATATCTTTCCCTGTTTATAACCGATAGAAGCATCTAAAATAAATATTACAAAATTACTGAAAAGAACTGATTTTTATGACAATTGAATACATGCTGTGCTAGTTATGGAAATGATGCTGAAGTTGATATGAACACACGTACTTTCCTCCCGCAAGAAAAATAATCAAAGCATTATATATCTGCTTTGTCCATTCATCTCCAAATTGTCACTTGCTAGGGTCTGAATAAAGTGAGTAGAAATCTAAACAAAAGCAGATTAAAGAAAAAATCTCCTGTAAATACCTGTTATACTCCTGCTTATAATAACCATTTTCAAGTTGTGTCTCTCACCTCTTTCAGAATATGTGAACCACTGCATCTAACACAGCACTAAAAATACATAAAACCAGAGCTTTTTTCCCACCAGTAAAATATTGTCAAATAATAGCAATCCCAGCAATGCATCCACCAGCCTTTGGAAGTCAGTGGGAGTCATCCCACTGGGTCCACCAGGGACTGGCCCAGGTCCTGAAGAAGTGCAGCTGGTGGGAAATCCTCATCCATATCCTGGGAAACATTCCCTAAGACCCAGACTCAACCATCCCTTCCTCTAACAAAGAACAGCATCTGCTTAAAAGCTTTGAAATGGAGACCAGAATAAATGATGCCGAGCCCACTGGATAAATAGAAGAGTTTCTAAGATTGTGACAGACTTGAAATAAAGTCTTCCAGGGCAAAATGTGGGACACATCACAGCTGTTATACTGAGCCATGTCAAGAGTGCTTCTGAATACTTGTTCTTCCAGCATCCCCCAGTGAAGTGAGCTTCTGAGGATTTAAAAAAAAAAAAGCAAGCAAAGCTGAAAATTACTTTTATTACCAGAAAACACATGAAACAGAGCTCCTTCTGGGCTCATAACAAGCCTGAGGAATGAGATGAGAACGTCTTGGCACTGGGGATGGACAGCCAGCTTGCCCTGGCCATTACTTTGTGGGTTTTCTATTTGTAACACAGCTGAGTGGATTTACCTCTAGAGCCTTCCCACTGAAGGTCTTGCTTTATCAGGAACACCCTCCACACGTGTATTTGTACATGAACTGAATTACTTGAAGAAGCTTCCATCATCCACATGTCCATTATCCACACATCATTGCAACCAACCCAAACCAGGATGTTATAATAACCATGCTGGAGTCTGTACGGACACATGGAAAAGATGATGGGCACTGACAAAAAGAGAATATAAACTAAGTGGCTAAGATGGAGGATCCAAGTGGCCAGAAAACAAAATCTTTTTCTAGTTCCCACAGCAAATCACTGACAGAGAAGAGGAAAGAAGCCACTTTCCCTCTTCCTTATTCATGAGGACCATTGCTCCCCTGTTTGTATAGCGGTTCTTGTTCGCAGATTCACAGGGCAGTCTGCAAATCAACTCTTACTGAGTTTATTATTCATGTTTCCTCTCCACCGTTCAAGATCATCAAGGCCTGCAACACCACACAGGCCAATCTTTACTCCAAGCTGTGCAAAAATCTTGCACGTTATCACCTTTCTCACCCATCACTGTTGCTCTCTGAAGAACTAGTCTTAGTCAACCATTTCTATGAGCCGTGTTGCTGCTGTCCTCCTGAGCTGTCCCAACCCAGCGTCCCAAGAGCAACAGGCTGGGGAGTACGCCAGCAAGTTACCACAACCCTGTTTTTCTCTAATTTATAACCATACTGAGCAATCTTGTGCTTTTAACTTTTGCAATGGATAGCAAAGATAAGTCCCAGCAAAGCTGTGGTAGCCAAAATATACCACACCCAGCCTCTGTGCGCACACCTGATAAACTGCAGCAACTGAAAATCCCTGCAATGGTTTTGTGCTGCCGCGCTCTGCATTTTCCCCATCATCAACCCCCCCTCTCTCGCACTGTTCATGCCGCGAGGGCCCTGGACACGGTACCACCAGCTCTATCAGCCCTGACAACGACCGGTGCCCTGGTGACATGTCCATTTACAGGACGGACTTGGGGCCCCATCCACGTATCCTACATTCTGCCTTTCCGTGTCTTTCATCTTCTACCCTTTCATGACATTTACCTTCTGTAAATCACCTTTTCCATGCAGCTAAAATTAAACACCTATAATGATGACGGCTTCTTACAGGAGATATGAAAGAGAAGCCGTGTGTCATCAGGAGTAGTCCTAGTGATGATAACCACAAAAGCTATTATCAGAATAACCACGATCCTAGTAATAATGACACAAGTAAAAATTCTTGTGTCAGCGAGGGCTCCCCAGTGCCACCACAGCTCTGAATTAAGGCAGCTCGTGCAGACTGGTCCAGCCCACTCAGTCCTACAGGAGCCAGTCTTCCCTAAAACGATCCATCTGCTTTAAAAGTGCCATCGGTAGGAGACTAATCCCCCCACGGTCCTTTTATGCTCTCTAGGGACAGACAGACCTCTCTGGAGGATGATCTAAGATCCAAGTCATTTTCTGCAGTCTCTAGAGAGGGAGCCAAAGACCCCTCTGCTTCCAAATTGAGATACATCAGTGCGGGTGGGATGAAGGCAGTCCTAATGCAGATGAACCCACGACCAGAAGCCCAAGCGAGAAGGCTCCAGCTTGCCCGCAGGCTTGACTCTCAGGAGGCTCTTGGTGTCATTAATCCACGTGACTGCTGGCTGGGACAGAAGCATGCTTTGATAAAAAGCTGTGCCGGCACACCAGTAAATAGCTCTGATGAAAGCGCTGTAGATACCACAACATGTAATCAAGTGCATAAATAATTTGTTATACAACAGACCTTGGAAAAAACAAATCAGTTGATTATTAGTAATAACTATGTATATTGCAGCATCTCATCCCTGGAGGCCCCAAAGGAGGTCAGTTGTGCTGAGCACGGAACACTGTTAAAAAGCAAATCTGCCATAATATTTGGGCATCTGAAACCGGAATAAATGAGGGCTGCTCAAGTCACTTTATAAAAAAAGTGAAAATAAGTACCAACGATACAACGAACACATGAAAGTCATTTAGTGAACATCTTTATCAGATACACAGCAACAAAGAATGGCTCAATATTCCCCATAAACCATATCAAACCAGACTTTTCATTTTCCAATAATAAACACTGAGCATTTCTAAAATAATTGATTTCCCCTTATGTTTTCCTTCTCATTCCTGATGCTGCTGGTTCACATTCAGAGTCAGATCTGCATGCAGATCTGCATGCAGATCAGCTAAGATGGAACAGCTCTTTCTCTCATTTTTTTCTTCTTGTTTTACACAGTATCAGCAAATGAGATCAGCATCAGACCTGCATTTATAGAAATATGTCGTCCTATCTCATATGTTTGTTCCCGTGTCAAGAAATTTAAAGCTAGGCATCGGGAAAATAATGATTGCCTCACGCTTTTTTTTTTAATATAAATGGGACTCCTATGTCATTTTTACTTCTATATTTACATTAAAATAATGGATTCGGGGAACTACAGAGCCAAACAACACAGCATCAAAAACGTAACAACCATAAGGCTCTTGCTGCTGTGTATTTAGGGGAGAAATAAATCAACTTCTTTTTCTCAGCAAAACCACATGGAAAGAAAATAAGGGTCTACTTACACTGTACAATGAGCTGTACCAAAGCTTCTCTGGGTTTCACGTTAAACCCATTGTATTGGCTGGTCTGGCACCTGTAGGTTCCCGTCATCTCCCTGGACACGTTCACTATCCTCAGGATCCCATCGTAGCTCTCCGTCTGCATCGCCCCGTCCGGCATCGCGACCTCCTTGTCTGCTCGGGACCAGAGAATGATAGGCTTGGGCTTCCCTGTCACCTGGCACTGCAGCTCAATCGTGTCCCCTTCCCGGGTGACCAGGGGTGACTTTTCTTGAGGAACAGTCAAATTGGGTGGGACTTCAAAAGAGAAAAAGAGACGGTTCAACCATTAGCATTACAGAGACATCAGGTGGCTTTCTTGCTTGTTACAGTCGTCACTGTATATCAAGAAAGAATTTATACACAGACAGCAACGCATATTGACTACATATATTGGAAGACTATGCAATGCTGCTATATTTATGAGACAAGGTCCTCAGCTGCTTGAAGTGGTTAAAACAAGATTTAACAGCCCCAGCTATGACACTTGCCTCCCTGTGTGTCTCTGACATGCCAATATGCCGTACCAGCGTACATCAGCGCATTTGGACCACCGGTCACAGCTAGCACTTTATCACTGCAAGTTATGGCTTTCCTTTTTATGAGTATTTGGCACTAAGAACCTTTCTTTATAACAGACTGGCTGCTGATTTTATCCAGCTCTTAATGGCCATGCAATGAGGAAGAATCATGCCAATTCAGAAATCAGCTCAGAATTCAACACCTGAAACCGAAAGGCTGTTGGCATCTTTCTACCACAGGAGGTTTATCAAAGTGGTATTTTTTTCATAGAGATTTGCATTACCATATCTGGAAGGAATAAGTGAGCAACTGTTTCCAGCAGGAGTTAGACAACCCCTCGGAGCAGGAATACCTGGCACCGCTGCATGGCGAGCAGTGATGCCCAAGGACCCATCCTTCATCCTCTCCGCAGTCTTGCAAGAGCAGGACTTCCTAACTGCCCCCAGCGCCTCTCCAAATTATCAGTCACGGCTCTGAATCGCCAGCCCTCGGCAGGGAGGAGAAGATCTCGCTTGCCACAGGAGGGATGCCGCTGTGCGAGGCGCTCGATCAGGACAGAAATGGCACGGCACCCCGGCAAAGGCCTCGGTGTTTGCGTGACGGGCATCCCAGTGAGCTTCCACCATCAGTCCCATCAGAGGCGGCCCCTCTGCCTCAGTCGTTTTGGTGACAGCATTTAATAATTACAAAGCACCGCAAGCTCTGCCGACATGACGAGAATGGTTTTGCCATGTCCAATTGTCGTTCCCATCTCATCATACCTATATTGGGTTTATAGCCAATTTCTTACTCCTCTCTTAGCGCAACACAAATGAAAGCGCCGTCTCCGAAGCTGCCTCTGATCTCCAGATCACACATGGTGCATTCGGCACCGTGGCCCCTTGCTTAGCGGGAGGGCGCGGGCTGCCGTGTGGTGGGTGAAGATACGGAAAAGCCTGATTTAATCACTGCCCACCCTCTCTTTCCTTTCATGCCTTCTGAAAACTGGGCTGCCTTTATGGGTCTTCTGTTCTGAATCACATAGAGAGATGCTTTCTGTTTTAAACCAGTCCCTCCTAGGAGCATTACCTCTCCACGCTGTCCTGGCCTCAACTGCTTTGCTTCAATGCCAGGACTGACAAAATACAGCCTGCACCATAACTCCTGTCTGCAGGAAAAAATAATCAAAGGCTATTTTCAGGCCCCCAGAGACAGAAACAACAGACTTGTACCAGTGAGAAATAGTTCCAGTTTTCCCCTGGGATCTACCCTGTGTCTACAGACCTCATAAGCCTGCTAGGAATCAGAGCTTAAGTCAGGGACTTTCAGAGGTACCAAACCGCTGTTTTCAGCTGTTTTGAAGGCTTTAATAGCTCCTTCTGAATCTGGTGGGACATGCAAAAGTGGAAATAACTTTCTCCACAGAAGAGTAAAGGAAAAATTATTTTATACTTCAAAAAAAGAAGGAAAAGAGAAAAGAAGAAAAAAGTAAAAGAGAAAGACTACTTAATAAAACATTCCCAACATTAATAAAACATTCTTATTTTTCAGTTATGCCCGTGTGTGCCATAGCAGGTTCTGACCGCAGGCCAGTGTCCCAGAGACCTGGATCACTTGGAGGGAGCCCAGAGGAGAACCACCACATGAAGATGCCCAAAAGCCCCTGAAGAGGAAGGGCTGCAGGACATGACGGTCCACCCCAGCGAGGGGAGGGTGGTTCAAAGCCACGGAAGCAGTCTTGTCAGAGCTCCACCAGAGGGAAAAGGGTGCTGAAGGTGGCGAGGGATGAGACAGAAGGAGCACGGGTGCTGCTCTGGGCTTCTCCAAGCTCTTCTGACTGCGTTTCTCCATCAATGTGTGCCCTTACCTCTCCCTCATTTCTACAGCCCACACTCTTGCTGTGCAGTACACGGTACTTGTGCTGGACCTGCACCAGCCAGGTGCTTGTGGTGGGACTTCTCCACCTTCTCTCTGAAAGCCAGCACATCAGATAGATACCAAATGACCACTTTCTAAAGCAATGCTTTATGAAAACACAGACTAAACTGGGAAAAGGGTATTGTTCCAGGAAGGAAAATACAGTTTAAAGAGAAAGGTTTGAAAGCACGCTGTGTGCTGCCTGCCTGCCTGCAGGAAGGAGCCTCCTTCTGAACATTTTTTTCCAGTTCACCTGGCTTGTGGTTTCTCAGCTTCGATCAAATAATACACAGCTCTGTCTGGACCAGTAAAAAAAAAAAATTACTTTTTCCCTTCCCCCCTGGGCAGTGGATCTGTTCCCTGCTGTGAACATGCTTAGATCAAAGCATGTCCCAGTTGGTACGGATGCTGCAGGCTCCCTCGTAGCTCTCCTCTCCCTCCTTGCCCCTGCGGCATCTCCAGCTGCCTTGGGGAAGCACAACCTTCTCCCGTCTCAGGGATTCACTGACCGTGAGAACCGTGAGGCCAAGACTGTGGGGTCACAACCCTCAAACAAAGTATCTGCTATGTACCAGCCTACAGCACTATCTACAGTTCTGCTTGCAAGCCCATGGTCCAGATGGGTCCAGGACGTGAGTTTTCCCTTTGGTAGTTGTCCGTGTAGACCTATTTCTGGACATATTGTCCTGGCAGCCTGTTCCAGACTCCATTCTTTTCAGACTGCCATCAGAGCAACAGGTCTGGACTATAAAATCACACCATCTTAGCGTCAGAAATCACCCACTTTCTGGCTGGAGCAAGGGCTGTAACTTCTCATCTCAAGCACTGAGCCAGGAGCAATACTTGCCTTTGGCACAGCAAGTGGTCCTGTGCAAATGTTGCCCGTGAAGGCAACGCATGACAGAAGAGAGACAAAAAATGAGAGAGAAGGCAGCAAAGCCAGCTTCATGGGTGGAGGCTGACCCAACGCTGCACTTGGAACAGGGCTGGGATACAAATAAATTGAGGAGCTGCTCCCCAGATATCCACAATGTTCCTCTGGTTTAAGAAACTCCTTCACTAAGCTCATCACGGGAGGAGTAAACAGACAAATTTAGTGCGTCCCAGATGTGGACCTAGAGAGGAACAGGGGCAGAGATGTAGAGTGCAGCTGGGGATTTATGAAGACTTGCTTCCCATGTAGCTGCACTGTGGGGATGCAGGAAGGCACCAGCCCTGAGCTCCAGCTGTGGGAGCCTGCCAGCTGCAAGAAACAGCACCTCAGACCAAGAGGCAGGGGTAATTCAGAAATCTGTACACAGAGCAAGCTATGAATCATATAAGGAAGAACCAGGAAAGAATACACCCTGCTTCTCATGGTCACACGTAGCTTCTGGAGGCATTTGAGAGGAAGGAGAGTGAATGGCACAGAACACACATTTTTGAGGGGAAAAAAAAAAAAAGATGCATCCCAAAAAGGTCCTGTGCAACTGTGAGCAAGTAATTTACCCTCTCTTTAACTCGGTTTTCTTTCTGAAAAATAGAGATAACTGTACTGCAAAAACTGCACACTGCCAAGATAAGGACCTTAGACTATGAGGTCTGCAGGCAGGCTGATAAGATAGGCTGTATCAGTACCCCAGATGGAAAGATACCTTAAAATACCCTGACTCATCTTCTCCTGTGCCATTTTGCAGCACAACCAGTATCTGTCACATTGTAAGCCAGTTAATATATTATTATGGTTTACTGTATTTATTAATGTTCTTGTTACTGGAAACAGAGAAGGAGAGGTGAGGGACAAGGCCATCTATTAAAACACATCATTTCATGGGCAATACCATAAATAAGAAGCCTGGCTGCAGCTTTCATGTATCACATTTGACTGACAGTGCCCAAGACAGCGAGCTCCCATGAAGTATTTCTCTGCCCCCACCACAGCGGTTATGGCTAAGGGTCCCCCTTGACTCAGATGCTGATTCTCTACTGTCTAATTAGGAAGGAGGACAACACTGAACCTTTGCCTAGAGAGGAGTTTTGCTAGGGTTTCCCTTTTTATACTCACCTATTTATTTTTACAAACTTGCAGGTACTTAATTATCTCTGAGCTGTCTACTCCGCTGTCAAATTTGGCTTAAATTAGCTACAGGGTCAAAAAATATCAGGGGGTGTGGGGGATTGCGAGACACCAACTGACAGGCGCTGGCAGCCTGATCATGTGTGACTTGTTTTCATAAGCAATAACGCTAAAAAAAAAAGCCACAAAAGATACTCAAATCAATGCAATGCCCACAGAGCAATCAGGAAGATGGCGACAGGGGGGAGACCTAGAGAACTGAGGAGAAAATAATCATTCAAAGTTTTTCTTCCCTTACTACAACCCAAGACACAGGGAAGCCCCCGGACCAGGGAGCAGGCGGCTGAGCCTGCTGTGGAGGAGGGCCTGGCAAGTCTGCGTGGGCAAGGGTATAGAAACATAGAATCATAAAATCATTTAGGTTGGAAAAGACCCTTAAGATCATCAAGTCCAACCTAACACTGCCAAGTCCACCACTAAACCATGTCCCTAAGTGCCATGTCTACATGACTTTTAAATACCTCCAGGGATGGTGACTCCACCACTTCCCTGGGCAGCCTGTTCCAATGCCTGACAACCCTTTGGGTGAAGAAATTTCTCCTAATATTCAATCTAAACCTCCCCTGGCGCAACTTGAGGCTGTTTCCTCTCATCCCATCACTTGTTACTAGAAGCAAGAATGCCTGAGCAAGGGTGCACGAACAAGGGTGCACGAGCAAAGGTGAAGGAGCAAAGGTGCGTGAACAAGGGTGCACGACCAAAGATGCAAGGGTGTGCAACCGAA